TCCGGCGCCGAGGAGACGTACTGCGGCGAGTAGATGTTCAGATCCACCCCCTTGTCCACGGTCTCGCTCTTGTTGAGCCCGTAGATAAGCATAAACTTTCCCTGCGCCGTCTTGAGCGTGTTGTCGGTCTTTGGGTAGAATAGCGCCTTCGAGGCCGCCGTCACCGCCGTCTCGCTGCTCACGCCGATGTGCACTGGAATCCGGTCATTGGTGCTGGTGCTCCACAGGCACAGCGAATCCTCGGAGATGTTATGGTCAAAGTCGCAGGTCGCCGGACAGTCAGCTTCATCTTCACCCGTTTTGCAGTTTTTATAGAAGTCGCACACCTCATCGTCGTCAATGCAGGTGTTGTCATTGCAGACGAACTGACTTTGTAGTAGGCAGCCCTTGCCGGGCTTCGGAGTGGTGCCATTGCCGTGGTGGTGGTGCGGATGGGCGCCGTGCAGCTTACAGGCGGAAGTGAACGATATATCGTCAATGCTGATGAAGGTTTTCGTGGTGATGGTGTCTGGGAAATCAAAAATAGTTTAAAACCATTCAGCAACCAATCAATCTACTCACTAATTTTCCCACTAAAGACAATCTGATAGGGCAGCCTGTTGAGCAGCGGCATCGAGAACCGCTTCCACACGTACGTGTCATTCGGACTGGTGTCAATGGAGCTGAGCAGCTTCAGGTCGGTCGTTCCCTGTACCTTCTTCTCAACGCTGAGCGTGCCCACGCCGTTCATCATGTACCAGAAGCGNTCTGGGAAATCAAAAATAGTTTAAAACCATTCAGCAACCAATCAATCTACTCACTAATTTTCCCACTAAAGACAATCTGATAGGGCAGCCTGTTGAGCAGCGGCATCGAGAACCGCTTCCACACGTACGTGTCATTCGGACTGGTGTCGATGGAGCTGAGCAGCTTCAGGTCGGTCGTTCCCTGGACCTTCTTCTCAACGCTGAGCGTGCCCACGCCGTTCATCATGTACCAGAAGCGGAGGTGGCAGTTGCCGCTGCTGTCCGGGTCAAAGAGCGGACTGCTGAAGGCAGAGCTGGCGTCCACGGTCACCTGACTGAAGGCCGCCCCGGTGAGCATCATAAAGTGGCCCANGAGGTGGCAGTTGCCGCTGCTGTCCGGGTCAAAGAGCGGACTGCTGAAGGCAGAGCTGGCGTCCACGGTCACCTGACTGAAGGCCGCCCCGGTGAGCATCATAAAGTGGCCCAGCTGGTCGTCGGTGGTGTGGTCGATGAGCGGGCCGATGAAGCCGCGCGTTTCGTAGCCGGCAAAGCGCTTCCACTTTTTGTCCGACAGATCAAGGTCGCACGTGCCAGAGGTCTTCTTGCCGCCCTCAAAGCTGCAGCGGAAGCTGTCAATCTTGTCGCAGTTCAGCTCATCGCTGTTATCACCACAATTGTCCTGCGAAAAGGAGAAACAGTTGCCAGAGAGAAAACTTTAAACACAGTAACTCTTACCTGGTAATCACAGAGCTGACTGGGCGGAATGCACACCTTCGTGCTGACACAGGTAAAGTAGCCCTTCTTCTCGCAGTTGGTGAAGTTGTAGGGCGCCAGGGCGCAGTTGATGAGTGCAGGGTCGCGAATCTTCACCGTCTCGCTGACGTTGTTCTGTGCATCCTTTGCGCCGGCAAACTGCAGCCGCCAGCCCATCTGGTGCTCGCCAATGAAGATGCGGGCGCCACTCCAGTGGCCGTAGTGCATCGACCCGGAGCGGCTGGAGGCAAAGAGGCGACTGAGCAGCGTCCGGTTGCGCCGGTCCACCTCCAGCAGGGACAGCTCCAGCGACTCGGCCGCCGAGGCGACGTAGTAGCTGAAGGAGAAGGTGCACCCGCCCCCGGAGTGGCCAAAGGCAACTGAGTTGAGGTAGGCGGTGGAGCTGACGCCGTCGCGCAGCTCAGAGCGGACGACGCCGTCTACGCCGATGGCCCACGACAGTCGGCCCTCGCTGCTGTCACGCCACCCACTGAGGAAGCTGCTCTCGCCGCACTGGCTTTCATCTGCCCCGTCATCGCAATCTCGGTAGAAATCGCAGCTGATGATGGGGGGAAAGGGTTAGAAATTAGTTTTAAAAACATTTCAGCTACTTACACTTCATTTCGGGGAATGCACAACGCAGTGTCACAGTTGAACTGATCGCCCGGACAGTAGCCGGGCTTCTGCGTGGTGACCGGGTAGGGCGTGTAGTTGGGAACGGTGACCGCCGTCTTCGGATCGGCGGGCGTACAGGCCGAGGTGAAGCTGAAGTCATCGAGGCCCCAGATGCCGTAGGTGTCCTTACCGGGCACCACTTCGACGACCACGTAGAAGGGCGTGGCAGGCGTGTCAATCAGCGGCACCTCCAGTCGCTCAAAGGTGTGACTGCGCACGTCTGCCACTTGGGCGTACCGGAAGAGCGCCCCCTCCTCGCTGAACTTGATGTACACGTTGAGTGTGCCAATCTGCGAGCCGGTGTTGGCGCCCATCACCAGCGCCTTACTCTGGTAGGTGAAGTAGAGGCGCAGTGTGCAGAAGCCCTTGGTGTGGTCGGCCACCATCAGCGGACTCTCCACTCGTCCCACCGCCTTCTGCTGGTTCCACAGGCACAGCACGTGGCCAAACTCATTGTTGAGCGTGTGGTCGCGCTTGATTCCGTAGGCGTAGTCATCGAGGTCGTCCACTGCTCCCCAGCGCAGGCCGTTCAGCGCTCCCAGTGTGGGCGATGACTTGTTCTTCTGCGTGTTGAGGTGTGGTCGAATCAACCAGTTACAGGTGCCCGACTCAAAGTCGCAGCGAAGAGGGGCGCGAGTGTTCGCATCGCAGTACTTCGCAGACTCATCCCCGCCGCAGTCATCCTAGAAAAGAAGACTTGCTGAAAAGTGTTTTTGAAATTAAAATTCAAAAAGTGTCTTACATTGTAGTCGCAGAGCTGCAAAGTTTACAAAAAAGTTTTCAAGTTATAAAATTATAAAGAAAATCTTACAATCTCTTACCTTATCCTCGCCAAAGCAGAACTTGCGACCCGAGTCACAGGCGTACTTGTTGGAGGCCACCCCACAGGAGAACCGGTCCGGACTGGCCACCACCGCCGGCATGCACATCTGCTGGAAGAAGTGCAGCTCGTCAATGGCCACCGCACCGCCGCCCTGGCGAATCTTCAGCCGGGCATTGATCTGCAGTTTGAACCGCCCCCTTATTCGGCCCACATTGAGCACCGGCGATGACCAGTAGCGCATCTGGTCGGCCTGCGTCGCCTCCTCGCGGTAAATCTCCACGCCGAGCGGGTTGTCCGGCCGCAGGATGTTGACGCGAACCAGCGCCTGGC